TTCTGCTGACTCAACATCTCTGTTACTTGCGCCGCTGAAATATAATCCTCTTCTGCTTCAACATCCTCATTCGCTTCTGATTTATTAGCTCTTTTCCCTCTTGGAGGCATTTTAATAGTTGTAGAATTTGTTCAAAGACTTGAAAATGTAGAAGATGTGAAAAATCGTAGAACAGACAAGAAGAGCAGTAAAGACGTCTGCTCTCGCTTGCAACCCGGAAGTCCACGGGTTGAATTCCTTATATAATGACTGAACCAAGGCCATGAAGAGCACTTTCACATCTCATATGCTTGGATCATTAAAACAAACTCTCTGGCTTTTGCCCATTAAGTGAGGTTTTTGGGACCAGTTGTGGGCTGTGGTGATCTTAGCATCTGCAGCTTCGACTGATTCTCCTGTTGTGGGTATATACTGCAATGCAACAGTTGTCCAATAAAAAGTGGGTGACACCTGGTGACCACACAGTAGATATCTGCATAATTTTGAGGTTTAAAATGGTTAGTTTTTTTTTTACCCTGCTTTTTGTCTTTGTCTTACACATCTGTTTGTTTGGGGTTAAGTCTGTGCAAACAGTGCAGGAGTGGACTTGAGTACAACAGACCTGGATTATTCCCTCTCTTCACACTCAGTGGTGCCACCCGGACCGCCTTGATGAGCAGGTGCACCTCAGAACTCGAGCAAAACTGTCAGCGGCTCCAGAGAGTTCAGGACTATCTCTTGTTTCTGTCCGTAGACTCCCTGCTCCACTTTCACACCCGCCTTTGTGCATTTCTCTGAGTCTGACATGAGGTCCCTGCAGGTGGACACCAGGGTGGAGAAGAGCTGGGCACCCCACCACAGCTCACACCCACCTTTATACTGCATCCTTCTCTTAGGCACCGGCTCCCCGACCAGGGACTCCTGGGGGATAAATAAAAGGCTCCCGGGAAGGTCGAGAAGTGACACCGTGTGCCTGGACTCTTTTCGGAAAAGTTTGGTGGTCATCAGTCTGTTGGCTGTGAGAAGATCACAGAAGAAAACAAACTAGGCAGCATTAACAGATTTTTAACTGGGTTAGTACATTGGATCTGAACTTTGGTAAATTCGTTATATTCCTTGTGCTAAATCTAACAGTTTGTGCTGCTGATAAAAACACTCCCTCCATCCAGTGCAAAGACAGAAAAGAAGCAGTGTCATGCATCACTGAGCCATGAGTCGTGTTGTCTGATCAATAGTAGTCAAACTCCAATGAAGCCTGCAGAGTAAAAAGAAAATCTTACCCATCTCATAAGTCATGTCCTCAGTAGCTCCATGGAAGAAGCACACATACACCACCATGCCGTCCTGGATCTGCGGTATCAGCACAGCGGATTGTTACTGCTGCCAAGGAGGTTATGTTTTTGGTTCCGTGCATGTGTGTTGATTAGTGAGAAAATCTCAGATATGAGATTAACATTTTACATTAATTTCTAAATATAACTGATCAGAAGAATGACCAGACAAACACACCCACCTCGGCCCACTGAGCATCAACCCCATCGAGGGCTGGTTTGATCTTAACCTTTGCATTAGTGCACTGCTGGATGACGGTCCGGGCCTGAAGCCTCCTGGGACTCTGGACAGGAGCCGGGCTGCTCACACAAACACACACACACACACACACACACACACACACCGTATGGAGGAACAATATGGGTGGGACAAAGAAAAAGCAACAACCAGGGTTAACATGGGTTTGGCTGTTTGATAACCTGGTTGTTTTGGTAGCATTAGCCACCTAGCATGGTCAGGATTTTACCTTTGTGTTGAATTAATATGATTTTAATTTGGGAGGAACTGGAGCTTTGTGTAACATCAGTGCTTTGTGTCACATCAGCAGGACTAAAGTGTTTTACTGGACTGACATGTTTACTGTTAGCCAGTTAACGCTAGCTTCAGACTGGAGGTGGCAGTTTATAGTTTGTCCCATCCAGGCATCCATAGTTTATGACACTGCTAGGAAACAAGACATGATGGGAGAGGCAAAGAGCGGTATGAAGCTGAAAAGACATGAGGTTCAGTAGCTTCAACTAAACTAAGCTGTAAAGGAAGACGGTTCATATAAAGCTAGGGTTAGTAGCACGTTGTGTTGTACCTGTCCACCCTAGAAGAGGGTTGTGCTGTCTCTACAGGTTTGGAGCCGGTGATGGTGAATACAGGCCAAGGTTTGGTGCTCGGGGCCACAATAGGCTCATGGTCGTAGCTGTATCTTCCCTTATCTGAAGAGCCTACCTCCAGGGCTCTCTTTCTCTTCACCAGGTACTGGGCTCTGTGAGGACTCTGGTGTTGTGTTGATATCTGGGATTTGGAGTGGGTCTTTAATCCACTGTTTGGACTTGGATGTTGAATTTGTTTCCTTGTGGCTTGTGGAAGCTCTGCCAGAGGTGTGGTTACACCCTGGACTGTGGTGCTGTCCTGAGAGCCACTTGTTACTTTCTGGCCTTGAGGCTGCGTCTGCTGCTCCAGCGGAGGTTTTACCTGAATCGGGACTCTGTGTTGACTCTCAGGCTGAATGACCAAGCTGTCTGTCTGTTTCTGGACTTCAGACTGTGCAGGGTTCTGTCTCGGGACACTCAAGAGCTTGGCAACCAAGGGGGTCTTAGGAGTCCTGGGCTGAAGAATGGTGAGAGGTTTTAGATGAATGAGGATGGGAATCCTGTGCTGCGAGTTGATGGGAGGTACAGACTGGTTCTCCTGAGACTTATAGGACAGACAAGAACTGAAATGAGTCTTCAGTGGTTAAATAATCTGAAGAAATACAACAGATAACTGAAGATTTCAGGTAGTCTCATTTTATTTATGAGTGTGTGGGTTTGTTTTCAGCTCAAACGTGTGAAGTGAACATGACCTGTCCCATGATGAAGAGTATCATGAGGCAGCTGTGGCACTTTTACCAAAACTACTATGGTTAGCATTTTTCTTCCATTGACACTGGCTATATTTACATTCAGTAAGTATCCCTCTATAAGGCAGAGATAACGGTTATTGTACTGTTGCACTGTTACAGATGGCGTCCGACACTCCCGACAAATTCAGACAGTTACAGTGCTTTAAGGGTTACAAAAAGAGAACATTCTCTGCCTGGCAGTTGAGACAGATTTACAGATTTCAGATCATGTAAGAAGCTGTGTATGACTGTGTGTTGAGTGCTGCCCTGCTGAAGCTGACAAACCTACCACTCTGCCCTCTGAGCTTGTTGCCGGCTGCTTCTCTTCATCATCATCATCACCAACACCACCCTCACTATAGCCATTGTCATCCTCCCCGCTGTCAAGATACAAACAGAGGTCAGAACATAGGTCACACACTGTGACAGCAAAGAAATTCAAGGTTCAGTACTACTACAGTTACTGAATATTGTATACCACTATTATTACTTCAATTCAATTAAAAGTGCTGCTACTACTAGTGTACAGGAACTATCACTACAGTTACTACATACACCAACACTTACAATGCTAGAACTGCTGGCATTAATACTACTACTGCTCCAAATTACTGCTACTACGATTACTACTTGTACTAGTCGAATTATAACAGGACAACTGTTCCTTTGTGTGACGATCAGTGTGTGCACAGTACTGACAGCACCGTAGACTTGGAAGGAATTAATCAAGTAGTCGACCGAATAATTATTCTGCAGCTATTTTAATGATCGTAATAATCATTTTCGGCCTTTTTCCAAACAAAAAGGCAAAATATTCTGTGGTTTCAGCTTCTCAAAAGTGACTATTTATTTTTGTCCATGTCCTGTAGTTCAATATCTTAAGGTTTTAGAAAAAAAGTAAAAAGCAGAGAAATCAGAAAATTGTGAATGTTATTGTGATGATTTTTTAAACACAGAATAAAAGATTATCTGACTAATGACAAAATAATCTGCAGATCCATCAATAAAAAAATTGTTAGCTGTAGCCCTAAAGCACTGTATATCACTATGTAACTATGTGGCACATCACCTTTTCTGCAGAATCATCAAAAGGGAAACACACACACACCTGTCTAAATCATCCTGCATCTGTGGTGATCTGAGCATCTGCAGCTGCGACTCTGATTCTCCTGCTTCTGTTTGCTTTTCTGGTATTTGCCTCTTCTTCCTGTTGCAGTGCGAGCACCTGTTGATCCACTGAACCACATCAGCTCTCATGGTTTTCCAGAAGTACCTGTCAGGCAACAAAAGCGGTTTATCCATACAAAAACATTACAGTACATTGAAGATTTTTGACTCCATTAAATATAACCAAAACTTCCAACAATGTTTTGCCAAACTTTGCCTTTATGGCTTTAATTTTTAAATACAGTGGTACAAATGTGCTCCAAAGTCTCAGTGTTCATCACCAACCAGACTCAAGTCAGGTCTCTTAAAAGCATAAACATCTGTGTTTAAGCCAGGTGCTGAAATATCCATCTACAAGTTGAATTTTGGCACAAGGAGACGTCACCAGCACCCTCATTAGCTTCATTTAAAACTGAAGTTGTACAAATAATCCATGGGTGTATCAGCCAACTGTATCTGTGCTGGAGGAGGTTCACTCTTCTGGGTCTCTGCAGGATCATAAACATTTCATCCAGACATTTTCTCAATTAACCGTTTAGTGTATGAAATTTCGTAGCCAAACTCTAGGGGAGACTTCCTGTAAAAATAAAGGTTAAATAAAAATAAGTACTTTAATGCAGATCTCCTTTCACCTCTCACTGAGCAGTCGCAGACACTTGTTGACGTTGAGGTGGTTCAGCTCATCGTGAAAGTCAGTGAGGGCGACTTCAACCTGCTGTCTGCTCCTTAGAACCAAACGTTCCCGATCTCCCCGGACCATGTGCAGCTTGCCATCTGGAAAACCAGAAAACTGTTACCACGATACACGGTTACTGAGGAAACGAGCAGGAATTACATGCTGACAATTACTGTGGAGGCTCAAGACATTTTGCAGACACATTGAGGCTCTAACGTTCATCTTGGCATTGTCTCAAACACAGACATTTATTTGAATCAAGGGCAAGGGTCTCTTAAAAACTCCTTCTCCATACTTGATGATTCCATAGAAACTAAGTTATGATGGAATGACAGTGATCCCTCCCATAAACCATTGGTTCCTGGGGTTGCTTTTTGTCCACCACAAACTCTTGTTGACATATGCCTACGTATGCATATGTAGTTAACACATATGGCAAATTGTAAAAACATCAGAGCTGCAACAGTTTCAGCTGCAGTGTGAACAGCCAATGAGAATCATACACCAGTCCATGTGTGTTTGCTGCACAAAGACTTTATTCACAGCTTTACTTTGCTACAGTAATTTATCTGATTCTGGCTCATACAAACCTTTTATGGCAAACTTCTTGCAGAATGTCCTGAATGTGTTTTTCTCTACGTAGCTCAGTCCAGGGGGATAAGTGCGTCTGCTGAGGTAAAGCTCCACGGCATCATACTTGGCAAAATAAGCCTGCTCATAAATAGATATCATACACAAAGAAAAGGTTGGTTGAACTCAGTGTCTTTTTTAGTACTACACCTTAGTGTATATTAGCCCCAGTAATCACCCCACCTACAGCATACCTCCTTCACCACAGCAGCCTGGGTAGGACCTCTGGACTGAGTCTGTGAAGACAAGCATCTGCTTTTAGAACAGTACCAACTACTACTACTGCTGACTTGTTCATTATTCAACGATCTGATATGGTAACTAACTACCATGCCTTACCAGAGAGCCGTTAGGGATCATGAGCTTGGGTATGGCATCAGGATGGAGGGTGACCTTATCCCCGCTTCGGTCAAAGGAGTCCTCTGTGAAATGGACTGAACAAACAGATGAACGGAGCCGAGGGTGCCAGTGAGGCCGGCCAACAGCCTTCAACCACTGAGCGAGCATGAATGCATTGTGCAGAGGAAACCTGAAGGTCAGGAGGAATATGTGTGTGTGTGTGTGTGTTAAAATAGTTACTCTAAGTATTACAGATAATATTACAGCCATACAGTGACATAATGTTCTATAGTTTCATACAGAAGACATTTTAGAGGTTGAAGAACACGGCTCCTGAAATGTAAATGGGTGCCATCTTTCTCACATAATGGGACAGCTATGACCATGTCAGCTGTTAGCCAGTGGTGGAAGAAGTACTCCAATTGTTTAACTAAGTATTATTATATTGTTTAACTTATTATTATTATTATCCATCCATCCATTTTCCTCCGCTTATCCGGGACCGGGTCGCGGGGGCAGCAGTCTAAGCAAAGATGCCCAGACTTCCCTCTCTCCAGACACTTCCTCCAGCTC